GAAATGATCAAAAATTAATAATTATAATTCAAAAAGAAATTAAGAATATTTAGAATGATCAAAAATTAGATCATAATATTATTAATTAATCTATACTATTATGTCAATTTATAAGTGAAAAATAAAAAATATATACTTGTTTATTTGAATATAGTTATTTAAGAGATTTAGAATATTTGCAAAATTAATAACTTTAAACATCTAATCGATTCGTCCCTATAGAAAATGAATTTTTATGATTAATAAATTATATATTAACTATGTTTTGGTAATAGAGGCCTGTTACTTATAATAACTAAAGGACTTTTGAGAGCAACTTCTATTTTGTATAGCAAGATGTCCCTCAATTCCCTAGTAATTTCATAAAGACAAGCAGGTAAACATTTAAAGAACCTAAATAAATAGATATAACTTGGTAACATTCCTCCCATTCTCTTTGTTACTTTAATTTACTAGATATGCTAACATTTACTTTCTATGTATTGCCATTATCCAATGCATACCAATATTATCAACTTTAAATCCGTTTAGTGCCATAGCTCCATTAGTATTTGTCTTAGGACTTTCAATGTGTAGAGAAGGATGGGAAGATTATGGTCGACATGTATCAGATAATGAGGTGAATTCTACAGAATGTTTTGTTTTAAAAGATAGAAGGGTTACAAAGTAAATATAACTGCTAAATTCATTATAGGACTACTTGGGCATAAATTTAAGTAGGTGATTATGTGTATGTAAGACAAGATGAAAGTTTCCCTGCAGATTTGATAGTCTTAGGTAGTGAGAAGGACAGTGGAGCATGTTATATAGAAACATCTTCATTGGATGGTGAAAAGAATCTGAAACCTAAAAGTGCCATATTGGATAGTTAACAAATGTATAAATCTTTGGATACATTTAATGATTAAATAATAAAGGTTGTAGCTGAATCTCCATCGTAATCATTATATGAATTTGATGCTTAATTATTTTTGCCAATCAATTCAGAATTCAAGAAATTCTAATTAAATGCAAAATAACTTTTACTTAGAGGAGCATAATTAAGAAATACAAATTGGATAATTGGTATAGTTGTGTACACAGGATAAGATAGTAAGATTATGAGTAATGCTGATGCTTCAAGAGTTAAGTCAAGTGAAATTGAGACAACAATGAATGTACTAATATTAGGGATATTATGTGTTTAAATTACTCTAAGTATAATATCATGTTCATTTTCATCTGTTTGGTTAACAAAATTTGGAGTAGACTCTTTTTATTTAGATTATACAAATGATTCACTTAATCCATCATTGCTTTCATTCTATGTATTTTTTAGTTATATACTATTATATAACACAATGATACCTATTTCATTAATAGTTTCATTAGAATTTGTAAAAGTGTTTTAATCATACTTTATGGAGATGGATGTGGAGATGTACGTTTAATAAAGAAACAAATTTTGTAAAGTTTAAACAACTACTATTAATGAAGAATTGGGTTAAGTTGAGTATATATTTTCAGATAAGACAGGAACATTGACTTGTAATTAAATGGAATTCAAATATTCTGTAATAGGTAATTTCCTTTATGGTAAGGAAAATCAATAATAAACAACAAAGACAGAAATTGCATTATAAAATTTTTTACCATTATAGAATAAATTATAAATTCATCCTATGGAAGGAATTTAAAGTCATTCTTTAACAAATTTTAATTTTTATGATGAAGAATTAATAAATATAATTGATGGTAAGAATAGTAAGACTACTGCTAGTGTAAATTTAGTTTTAAAGTCAAAAGATAATAAATCATAGATTACAATAAATAATTAGAAAGAATTAGTTGATTATTACTTTTTCTTATTGAGTTCAGCTCATGAATGCATAATATAATATGATTAAGATAAAAATACTTCTTATTAAGGACCATCTCCAGATGAAATAACTTTAGTTGATGCAGCAGCAAGAATGGGTTATAAATTTACAGGAGCTTCAGCAAGTGAATAGAATTTCATGATATTGAATTAACCAAGAAAAGTAAAATTATTAAAATCATTTGAATTTGATTCAAATAGAAAAAGAATGAGTGTAATTATTTAAGATGAAAAAGGAATAATAAAATTATTAATTAAAGGTGCAGATAGTATAATAAAAAGTAGATTAAGTAAAGAATAAAAGTTTTTAGATAAAACTATAGAGTGGCTTGAAGATTTTTCTAGAATTGGATTACGATGTTTATTAATGGCAACTAGAATTTTATCAGAAGATGAATATAAAAAATTTGATAATGAATATAATAATTTACCTGATGGTGAATAAAGAGCAATTGAATTGAATAGAATAACAGATGAATTAGAAAGAGATCTAACTTTAATAGGTGCCACAGCTGTAGAAGATAAATTATAAAGTTAAGTACCAGAAACTATAGCTGATTTACTTAAGGCTAATATTAAAGTTTGGATGCTTACAGGTGATAAATTAGAAACTGCTGAAAATATAGCTAAAAGTTGTAAATTAATATAAGGAGATTTTACAGTTATGAGATTGTCTGAATCAAATGAATAAGATTGTATGGACAAATTAAAAGATATTCAAGATACATATGATTTATGTATCAAGGAAAATAGAAAGAAAGTAATATATTCTTTAATTAATTTTAGTCAATTGTTATTGAAGGATAGTCATTAGATTTTATTTTAAATTCTGATTAGTTGGCATCTTCTTTTGTTTAAATGGCTAAAGATTGTGAATCTATTGTTTGTTGTAGAGTTACACCTAAATAAAAAGCTGATGTTGTTAGATTAATTAAAAATAGATTAAATAAGATAACTTTAGCTATAGGTGATGGTGCTAATGATGTTAATATGATTTAAGCTGCTCATATTGGTGTTGGTTTATATGGAAATGAAGGAATGAGAGCAGTTTAAAGTGCTGATTTTGCTTTAGGAGAATTTTAATGTTTATGGAGATTATTATTAGTTCATGGTCATTGGAATTACATTAGAATTTCTGAAATGATTTTATACTTCTTCTATAAGAACATGTTGTTCACAATTCCTTAATTTTTCTTTAGTTTTTTTTGTGCCTTTTCAGCTTAATCTTTTTATGATGATTGGTATATTACTTTATATAATTTGATTTTTACAGCACTACCATTGATTATTCGAGCAACATTTGATTAAGATATTAATTATAAATAATATCTAAATTATGATGCAAATCAACGTATTAAAAATGTTCAATTAAAATAAGAGAATTATTTAAAATAAAAATTTCCTTATCTTTATTATGTTGGATAAAAAAAGACTATATTTACTATTCCATCTTATATGATGTGGGCTTTTACTGGAATACTTCATGGAATGATAATATTCTTTTTCTTATTTTGGATAATGGATTATGAAGCTCTAAATATTGATGGTTATACTGGAGGTTTAGCACCTTATTCATTAACTGTTTATACAGCTATTATATTAGTAGCTGATCTTTAAATTATCATATAAACTAAATATTGGACACTATTCAATGTAGTAGCAGTTTCATTTCTCAGCTTATTTCTATATGGAGGATATGTTATCATATCTCATTATTGGCCTGGAGAGATGATGATGTACACACCTCTTACTATATTAAAAATGCCATCATTTTGGCTATGTCAATTTTTAATATTAGTAATTGTTGGTGCTTTAGAAGCATTTAGAGCTGAATTTAATAGGTAATACTTTTTAGAAACTGCTGATGAAATCTTAGTAAAAACTAAATAATTTACATGGACACTCAATGAATGGTTGAGTAAATAAAAAAAAGTAGCTAGATAAGATAGTTTTTGGGCTGAAATATATAAAGAAGATGAATAAGAATAAGTTATTCAATTTGAAGAAACAATCAAAGATGCCAATCAAATACCAAATCAATGAAATATATATATGAACCTAAAATGGTTTATTCATAGAATACTTATCATTTTTATTTTAATAATAAAATTAAATCGTAGATGATGGAATCCAAAAGCACTGGTACAAAGAGACTTATCTCTGTTGGATCTCTGTCAAACTTTGAAAGAGCTGAATTTATCTCATCTAAAACTGATACAAAGTAAAGATTAGGAGAACTCTTTATTTATGAACCTACTAAATTAGAGAGTAATTATGTATGTCTATATAATTTAAGTGTTTGGATTAAGATAATAAATTGTAAGTACAAGAATTCCTAGATTTGATCATCCTAAACCAATGTTTGAATTAGATTCTTAACCAGACAAAACTTTAACACATGTTGCATCTTAAACTGAGTGTTAAAAATGTAATCATAGTTTAACTAAGATTGTATAACCTAAAATAAATATGGAATCATTACATTTATCAGCTCCTTCATTATAACCTTATGAAAAATAAGAACCTAAAGTTATAGTTCCCAAATAATTATAAAGTCATATAGTGAGATAAAAAAAGAAGGATCTTCCACCTATCTTATAATATTCTTTCATTTAACCTCCACCTATTTTTACATAATCTGCCAAAGCTGTAAGAGAATAGAAATCTTTTGGTAAATTATCTTAAGGCAGAATATCCAAGAAATTTGATAATGAAATTGTTAAAGTAATTCAATAAGAACTTAGCTAATAATTGAATTAAATTGAGGATGAAATTTCAGATAAAGGATATAGTGTACCTATTAAATATGTATAAATTTATTTTTATATTTTATATAGTCAAATCTCAAAAGAACTAAATAGATGACATTAAGTAAAAAAATAAAATTAGAAAAATAATCATAAATTTTGAATGAAAAGAAGACAGAAACATAATTTTTTATGTAAAAAGAAAAAGAAAAAGAAATCAGAACTATTATATTTTTCAAATAACCAGAAAAGAGTCAGTCTTAAATTCGTCTCTAAAAAGAAGAAAATAGCAATATTATATTTGGTTATTCAAATAGAAAAGATGAATAATAAGCTTGATTCATATTTACTCTAAGTTTATCAAATCTATACTATAAAAAATAAATTTAATTAATATGAGTGCTCAATTTTATAACTAGAATAAAAATTCCTATCCTGAACTCTAAGATTTTGATCATGCAATGAGACATCTCTATTATACATAGAATCCTATCACAGATTAATTAATAAATAAATTTCATAGTAAATATGCTGTTAGAGAGTATATGTTAAGAAAATTCAATACATCAACAAACAATAGACAATAAATGAATAAATTAACTGAATCCAATCTCTTTCTAGAATATGAATTAAAAAAGATTAAACCTCCCTCTGAGAATCTTTATGCAGAAAGCAACAAAAGACAATAAGTGTACCCTATGACTGAAGCTGTTTAAAAAATATTAAATGATGAATATATTTATTATAATAATAAATATATTTGATAATCATTATATATTGAATAATATGTCTAAATAAGAATTGGGATAAGTAGAAAACTTTGAAGATTAATCAGAATTTGGTTAACAATTACAAAATATTTCTATTGCCATGATCTAATTTTAAAAAGAGGATGATAAAATAACAAATGATATGAAGAATAAAGAAATAGAGAATACTAATATTAATGAAGATTTATAATTATAAAATATAAGATTACAATAGCAAAATTAAAAATTGTATTAATAATTAAGTTAGACAGAAAATCAATTGAATTTGATTAATTAAAAAGTAGAAGAATTAAATCAAGAGAAAAATTAAAATAATACAATAATTAATGATCTAAAAAAGATAGTTGATTAATAACGAGATTTTATTAATTAAATTAATAATGATTAAGCTTATTTTGATTTGACTGAATCATTAGAAATCTCATTGCAAAAATTAAAAGAAATGGAAAAGAAAAATGAAAAATTAATTGAAGAAAATTTGTATTATAAGACAAAATATGAAGAAAGCTTAATTTCTATAAAAAATAGCAAAGAAGACACATTATATCAATAAGATAGAATAGATTAAATTAGTCATAATTATTAATAGTCAGAATAAGAATAATAAGAAAAAATAAAATGTTTAGAAAATCAAATTAAATAATTACAAAATTAATTAAAGAATAACTGATTGAGTTGAATATTGTTATGTATTAATAATAAGTTTTTAATGAAATCATTGTTGAAGATATATATATTAATTATAATTATATATATAAATTATTTGAGATTTAAAATAAAGGCAAATTAAATAATAACAATATATTCATTGTTATTTCTAACTTCTTGAAATTCCATAGTTTCTTTCTAAGTAATCTATAGTAGGAGTTGTAAGAAGAGCTTAACAAAAATAAGCTATTATTCTTGCTTACCATCCTGCATATAGTCCTGATATACCATAATTTTTGTATACAATCTTAAATCCTTCTAAAAGAGAGAGATTTTTAAAATTTTGATTTCCCTCCATCTAGACTAATGTTTTGATTGTATCAAAAGGATGAACTAATAATATTGATAATAATATACCAGCTAGGATATTTAAAATGCTACTAAGAGAGGAAGCAATTAAAGAATTAACTAATGAAAGTGGTTAGCCAGGATCAGCTTTTAATGCATAACGGACTTTATGATCCCAATATAAATAGTTAGTCCATGATACTACCTGTCTTGTTGTTTGAATTCTAAAACCAACATATATTGATTCAAATGTTATGTATTTGAAATAACCAAAGCCAGTAGACATTGAGGTCATTTTTAATGTCTTAAGTCTTTCAAAAGGAGTAATAATACAACTTTCAAACAATCCAATTGAAGCTCCTGTTATAATTTTATTAATGGATTAATTATGGATGTGTTCATTCAGTAGTTAAGGTATAAAAATCATCATAGGCCATCTATAATATTATTTGACCATGTTCCTCAAAAAACTTGGAGAAAAGCCATCATATAAGCCTATCATTCCTCTAGCTCCCTTTATATCTATGTAACTCTATAATTTAATCGATAATTTACCTATATATAAGTGATGCCTTGCTTTGATTGTTTATATGTCTTAATTCTATCAAGTACATGTTCTAAGGGCATAGTCAATGCCACTCGAAAGGCTCCAATCACCTAAGTTTCAATGAGTGCTTTAACATAATCTCCCATTCGTAGCGATAATATATTCTTTAAAAATATTTAAGAATAGATTGCATTAATTTAGCTTTTATATAAATTGAATAATAGCAAAATATTTTATAAATAAAAGTAATCATTACATATTATAAGTTATTCTTAAATAATCCTTCTTCTATTTGGATGATAATAATTCATTAATTAAGGAATTCTAATAAAAGTTATAATATAAAAATGAATATTTATAGAAAATCATTAATTAAAGAAAAACAATGAACAAATTGTAATCAATAATCTTTAGAATTTTTTTAAAATTACTAATTCTTAGTGATATTTGATTTTGGTGGAACCTTAGGTAATTAAACACATGTGCTTTTTGTTTAAGGTTTAGGAAATAATATTTATTATTTTTTTAATGTAGGAGTTTAAGAGGAAACTTTATTTGTAGGTGTTTATAATCTTGCAGTAGTGTTATTTTTAGTAGGAGTTTTAAGTCTTATTTAATTTTTAGGTTGAAAGGTTTCCATATTTTCTTTTAAATTGTTGGCATGTTCTTATTTAATTATGGTTTCTGGATGATGAAAATGAATTTATTAGAGTTTTTGATTAATATCTTTGGCCATCTAATGAATAAATATAAAGTAATACTTATTAAACAATAGACTTTTTATCAATTAAAAATTGTTAAAATATCTATTATAATTTAATGACTAATTCCTTTTCTTCATTCCAGAAAAGTAATCTCATTTCATAAATTAATTATACAAATTTCAATCTAACAATATAAACTGGATCATTTTATAATTACAATACTTATATTAAATTACATTGTTTGAAAAAGTTTCTGCTTCTTTTTCTACAAATTTATATACAAAAGTCAATTAATAATATTCTATATGTATAATTAGTATGATTTAGGTATTAAAGATATTGAGGAACTATTTTTTCATAATTCTCAGTTATTTAATCAATTAAATAGACAGATATCTTTTTTCTTATATGTTGAGATCCCATTGATAAATATGAAAAACATAAAGAATTGAATTCTGTCTTTATATTTAAATTATTAGCCAAACATTCTAAAATATTTAAAGTCTCTTCAACTTCATACCATAAACCTTTTGATTCATAATTTAAGATAGACTTTTTAAGAAAATCAAAGGTTTTTTATAATTAAATAACAAATTATTTATTTTTGATTCTATTTCCTTTGTTAATGATATCAAGAAGATAAGGAATAAAAAATATTTGATTTAATTCTAAATTTCCAAATAAAAGACCAAGTAATTGTTGATGTGTTTATTCATTTAATTGAGTATATAAGTCAGACAAATGTTTAAGAAAACTAAACTCTTTACTTGTATCAATTAAATTAGATATCTAATTAATTAAAAAATCATCATATTATTATCGAATCTTTGAATCAAATAAATATATATATTGATAGTATTCTTTTACTAATTCAATTTATATAGGTTAAGGTCTTATATAATCCATAAATGCTTATTAAATAGACTCTGTTTTAATTGTTGATAGACATTATACAATTAAAATTATAATTTTTGGATCATCATCTATATATTGTATTATATCTTAAAGAGTATCTTAAAATTTAAGATGACCTTCATAACCTTATTCTTCCATCTTTAACCAAGTATTAAGAAATAATTTACATCCATTAATTCTTACTTATTTATCAAAATCTGATATCAATGAAATTGTATTCTTTAACCAATCTTAATCTCTAATTAATATCATTAATAATTTATCATGTTTAAGTATAACTTAATCAATTATTCTACACATTCTTTCATTTTTTCTACCAATACATTATTTTACATGCTTTAATGATAAAGCTTATTGATTATTAGACATTAATGAATAACGCATTTCAATTATTTTCAATCCTTCATACCTAACACTATCCTCATTTAATATAAGTAAGTAGGGATCAAAATCAAATTCCATATATTTTGATAGAGTTAACATTAATTCACATATTTGATCACAAAATGGGGAATTGAAATAATTAGAACATAAATCTTAGAGTTATTTCAATAATTATTCTTTAATTTTGTTGACTATATTTTCCTAGAATAGTTTTCATANACAATACTTATATTAAATTACATTGTTTGAAAAAGTTTCTGCTTCTTTTTCTACAAATTTATATACAAAAGTCAATTAATAATATTCTATATGTATAATTAGTATGATTTAGGTATTAAAGATATTGAGGAACTATTTTTTCATAATTCTCAGTTATTTAATCAATTAAATAGACAGATATCTTTTTTCTTATATGTTGAGATCCCATTGATAAATATGAAAAACATAAAGAATTGAATTCTGTCTTTATATTTAAATTATTAGCCAAACATTCTAAAATATTTAAAGTCTCTTCAACTTCATACCATAAACCTTTTGATTCATAATTTAAGATAGACTTTTTAAGAAAATCAAAGGTTTTTTATAATTAAATAACAAATTATTTATTTTTGATTCTATTTCCTTTGTTAATGATATCAAGAAGATAAGGAATAAAAAATATTTGATTTAATTCTAAATTTCCAAATAAAAGACCAAGTAATTGTTGATGTGTTTATTCATTTAATTGAGTATATAAGTCAGACAAATGTTTAAGAAAACTAAACTCTTTACTTGTATCAATTAAATTAGATATCTAATTAATTAAAAAATCATCATATTATTATCGAATCTTTGAATCAAATAAATATATATATTGATAGTATTCTTTTACTAATTCAATTTATATAGGTTAAGGTCTTATATAATCCATAAATGCTTATTAAATAGACTCTGTTTTAATTGTTGATAGACATTATACAATTAAAATTATAATTTTTGGATCATCATCTATATATTGTATTATATCTTAAAGAGTATCTTAAAATTTAAGATGACCTTCATAACCTTATTCTTCCATCTTTAACCAAGTATTAAGAAATAATTTACATCCATTAATTCTTACTTATTTATCAAAATCTGATATCAATGAAATTGTATTCTTTAACCAATCTTAATCTCTAATTAATATCATTAATAATTTATCATGTTTAAGTATAACTTAATCAATTATTCTACACATTCTTTCATTTTTTCTACCAATACATTATTTTACATGCTTTAATGATAAAGCTTATTGATTATTAGACATTAATGAATAACGCATTTCAATTATTTTCAATCCTTCATACCTAACACTATCCTCATTTAATATAAGTAAGTAGGGATCAAAATCAAATTCCATATATTTTGATAGAGTTAACATTAATTCACATATTTGATCACAAAATGGGGAATTGAAATAATTAGAACATAAATCTTAGAGTTATTTCAATAATTATTCTTTAATTTTGTTGACTATATTTTCCTAGAATAGTTTTCATATAATTACATTGAGTAAAATAATAAGATTGCTTAATGCTTTGATTAATTCTTTAATTACATTTGGCTCTTCCGTCTTGATCTTATTCTATAAATAATAATAATAAAGATTTACAATCATTAATGCAACTAATTCTGGAACATAAAAGTCAAGCTCAGTAGCTTTGTTAATATTTTGACAAACAAAAAGCTTTTAAAATGTTTATCCATTATTCAGTAAGTAGATAGCCTTGTCAATAAAATTATTATATTCAGGAGTGCATAGTTTTTCAATTTCTTCATTACTTTTGACTTAAATACATAGTGAAATGTACTTGAATTAGTGCACCTTTCATTTATTGAATCCATTAATTTATTTATTAATTATAACGAATACAAGAAGTATGACTCTATTTTCTGAGTTTCTCATTATTGCTTATTAACCAGAAGAATATAAAGAGACTGAAATCATTGAATACTTCCATATAAATGGATCAAGTCTACCAGATTATCTTAGAAATGTTGGCATTGTAATTATCAATTTGAATTTCATTATAGATGTGTTTTACAAGTGTTTTTGATGTTAAATTAGAATAGGAATAGTAAAAGAAATAGGATGATATAAATAGCAAGAATTATTTACATCAGTTTGTGATTACAGATTAGAGTGGTTAATTACGTTATTGCACCTCTCTTGTTGTATTTGAGAGTTTAAAGAGTGATTTTTATACACCTTTTGCTTATGTAATTGTTTCTGAACAATCAAACTTAATTAGATAGAAATCATATATGAGAGCATTATATAATAGTATATTTGACAGAGTGACAGTATTTATAATTATTATATTATTTTTATAGAGATATAGAGATCGTGGATGGTAAATGGGATCATAGAAATTATCTAATTAATAATTATTTGAATTCTATTTGTCTGTCGGTATAACAAATTTAGATGGATTATACTTTGTACCAAAATAAATTATGAAGACACGATAAGAAGTAATAACAGATCTTATTATTAATAATCCAAATCATAAAAATAATCTATACAATAAGGATATCAGTTTCAATGCTTTATTTTCAAAATTATCAATCAAAAGTATAATTAAAGTTGTACAATCAATAATCCTTGAAAAACAGATTATTTTATTTACTACTTAAGTTTGGGACTTAGCCACTATAACTGAAGCATTCTTATAATTTATATATCCTCTCTAATGGAGATGCATTTATATACCATATTTACCAGCAGAAATACTTGATACTCTTCATGTTTCTGTGCCTTATATCATTGGAGTACATTGTAATCTAAAGGAGAGAGTATTAACATAATACGATTGCCTTGATAAGATCTTAGTTGATTTAGATTAAGATAGGGTCATAGGCTGTAATTTAGTATTTACAGATAATATATTATTTATAGATATTACCTTTTCCAGAATAACTTGTAGAAACCCTCATAAATTAGAGTTCCAAATTCTCATATTCAGATGATGTAATATAAACTTTTGTTAGTAGTCTGAATTGTTATAAGTTTAATGCTGCTTTCTTAAATTCCAATTGTAAATGATCAATAACATTGTGCCATACTTTATTTATTCTGACACCCTCCAGTAGAAGCCTAAAATAGAAGACATTTTTGATAAGGATCTTTATATTGAATAATTTACTCCCTTAGATTAAGAATTTTATAGAGAATTTGTTAACAAAACTATGGTAATATATATTTTTATAGAGTATATAGATGTTTCAACGTTTTATTGAAGAATCCTATTAATATTTACATTAAAAGTAATTCTTAAAACAAAATATTAAAGCAAATATATTTATTGATTTACTTTTATTGATCAATACATCAGGATATTTCAATATTTACAAATTATAAAATAAAGATTTTGAAGCTAAGTTATTCAGTCTAATAAACGAATCCAAATAATTAATTCCAGAATCAGAAAAATCAATTCATTCACTCTTCTCCTAATATTAAAAACAAACAAATGATTATCTAATTCCATAAAAAAAATTTCCAATTCTTAAAATTGACAAATCAAAAATTATTTAAATAGATGCCATTTAAAATAGTATTCATTAAAATTCTCTAATGTAAAGAAGCACTTAATCATAAAAAACTGATATCTGTAATGAAAATAAATAGGTTATTAATATACTCACAATTAAAGTCCATAAAATAAATCCAATTTCTAAATCATATATACAAAATGATGTTACTGCTTAAATTATTTTGAAATATCCAAAGAAATCTTTGTCAAAACTTAAAAAAACTTTAGCTGACTAATTACTAAAATTAGCCCCTGAAGTCAATGTTGAATAGAAACCAATTCAAACATCTTAAATGCTCAGTGTGAGATAAAGCAAGCGTATTTTTAACACTGAAGAAATGGGTTACGTAAGCATGTATAGGACTAAAACTTACAATATGTACTGAAATACTTATAATATTATAAAATATTTATAAAATTTATTCATTGAAATTCTTAATAAGAAACTCTATCTTTTCTTATTTATGTTATTTTTATTGAACAAAAATCTTTTATCATTTAAAATAATAATAATATATGTACTTTTATATATTTTTATTTTAAACATAATACTACATGATTTTATAAAAATAAGAACAACACTTAATTCTTTATATTTATCTACAAAGAATCAAGTAAATTTCAAAGTTAAATTTATAAAAATTGTAGTAATTAGATATATTCTAAAGAGTTTTATGAATTCTCAAATTAATATATTAATATTCAAGAATAGATGTCACTTCAATATAAATATTTTTAAGTTAAATTATTTAAAAGTATTTTATTAGTATTAATCTTGCTAAATTATTATCTAATTTAATAATTAGCAAATTTTAAACATTTCATCATCTAATAATCAATCACAAAGAACAAAATCCAAAATTTTAATTTAACTCTTAAATTAGTGGAAAATCTTATGAATTTAACATTGAAAGTAAGTTGGATTGTTCATGGTTTTAATAAATCTAATTTTAAATAAATAATAAAATCTACTATGGTTTCAATAAACTATCACATATATTCATCAAAATAGTTAAATATAGAAAGGATAATGATTTTAAAAATTTAATTTAAGTTATATTTCGGCAAATCTGTAGTATATTTGTAATTTATATGATTAATATATTTTATTATGTTTGGAGAACCTTAAATATTAAGCCCTGTTAAGAGATAGTTTATTATGCAACGAATTATAAACAATATGAATGAGATTTCAAAACCAGAATCGACATCACCAGTCAAAAGAAGAATAAGAATTTAATCAAATCGTATTGATTATAGGAAAAATATGAGTATGGTGGAAAATCATTCTAATAAGCAGATTACTGAGCCTAATAACACAGAAAATAAGAAATTGTTTCATATAAAAGCTAATCGTAAGATGTCTCAAGATCAGATGCATCCTAAATCTCCTCCCATGTTACCATCACTATTTGAAATTACCTTTTAGAATCCATTTTTAGGCCAATTTTCCTAAAGAAAATATTAACGCCCAACAGAATTTTAAGCCATAGTATACAAACGAAAATCATGACTAATTTAATTAATTATAATCAACACGATCCGCTCTCTTTTTCCCATTTTTAGTATTGATTCTCTAATACACTTGGTGAAGGTTTTACCTAGTTCATTGCCTCTACAAAATCTGTTTCAGTAACAGGCCCTGGTCTAACATCATCATAAGATGGTAAGTTTTATTATTTTTTCTATTTCGTTGTTCTAACATCAATTTATATATCTTCAATTTAACTAAGGAGTCTTCTTAAGGGTTTCATAGCTGCTTCTTTACAAACTAATTTGATATCACTGCCACTATAATTTTTAAGAGCTTCTGCAAATTATGGATAATTCAGATTTTCACTCATTTCTTATGGAATATATCTTCTAATCATAGACTCTCTTGATTCTTAATCAGGTAATGGAATGTAAATCTAATTAATTATTCTAAATAATACTCTTTTTTCTAAACGTCTTAACATAGCAATATCTAAATCCCATGGTAGATTAGATGCAGCCAATAAAAAGACTCTTTTCTTAGATTTTAATAAACCATCTAACTATATTAGTAATTCAGTTTTCATTCTTCTTCCTCCTTCGTGCTCATTACCAGCTGATCCTCTTTAACCCATAATTGAATCCATTTCATCTATAAATATTGTACTTGGTTCATAATGTCTAGCTAAATCAAAAAGAACACGAATCAATTTTTCGCTTTCCCCTCTCCACTTAGAAACTACTGATGAAGCTTAAACATTGAAAAATGTTGTTCGACATTCAGTAGCAACAGCCTTTGCTAGCATAGTCTTACCTGTTCCTGGAGGTCCAAATAATAGAACACCCTTCCATGGTTCCAAGATCCCTTAGAAAAAATGAGGATATTTAAGTGGAACTAATACTGCTTCCTTAAGCAACCTTTTGGCTTAATCTAATCCAGCAATATCAGAAAATCTCACATTTGGATTTTCAGAACAGATATCTCTTTGTAAATAAGCTGCTAATTGTTAAAATTCAGGAACATCTGAATAATCAGGTAATCCCTTTAAAACTCTTGGATCAAACCAGTCTTTTTGATTTGCTTCTTCATTATTTGATTATTTTTATTAAACTCCTGTTCCTTAAATTTCAAGTGAATCAGGTTCATTTTTTGCATCTTTATTATTATTATTATCCTTCTCCTTAGATGATTAAGTATTTTTCTTATTAGAAGCTGTGGCATTTTGATTATTTGAATTACTAGTGTTGGTACTACTACTTTTGCCAGAACTTGGAATTCGAGGTAATCCAGGAGTGTTTTGGCCATCAACCTTTTTTACTAGTTTAGGAGGTTTCATGAATTTCATTTCATAAAACTATTCGAATTCACATAGTATCATATATAAATCGATATTATCTGCAGCATCATATTGATTCAAAGTCAAATTTGATTCTGTCCCTAACTTTGTAGCTGATTCAATATAGCCAGAGTTCACAAGATAACGTTAAATTAGAATGATAACATTCCTTCTACGATCTTTAATCTTCTATTCTTCACTTAAGCGCGATTCTGAATCAATTTTGATTTTATTTAACATAATTAATGAGACAAGTACAAGGAATGAATCGAGTTCCAAGTGTTGAGAATTACGATCTATTCAATAAAATATATTAAAAATCTAAGTTAGCAAAAGCTTAGCAATCCTCTTAAGATTTACTTTATGATGGAGATCAGTATAGAATTTAGTAAAGTTAATAAATGTTGGTTGAGTATCTAAAAGATCTCAATGAGATGATTGAAGATGTAGTAAGATTAGTTGATTAACTACACTCACTTAATGAATTAGAAGTAAATAATCTTTTCTAACATTTGAAAAAACAATTAAGGAATTTGAAGTAAGTCATTTCATCAATAATGGATGTCATGTTAGGAAAGGGTAAGTCACCATTTTAAGCTTAAAAACCTTCACATGTCAATATAGTAATGGTTAACACTATTAGAACATATTTAGTTGAAGTGTATATTCCAAATTTATTGGAGACAGCCAAATATGCTTTAGATAATTTTGAAGGCTATAAAGGAACATTTTTAAAAGATATGAAAATAGCATCAACTTAATTAATTATGATAAATCTAATATTTGGTGCTTCAGTTGATATTGATAAAAATTCACTTTTCTCTCTGGATAAGAATCATAAAGATTGGAAAGAATTATATTTAATTTGTGAAAGAAAATCTTTAGGAGATGTTGAGAGAATAAATCAATCATTTGATAATTTTGCTAACACTATTTTAATTGGTCATGCAATTATGGGAAAAAGTAGTAAATTCAAGAATGAAATACTAAAAAAATTATAATTAGCCATCAATAGTATTTATTATCAAATTTTTGATGCAAAAAAAGAAGCCTTTACAAATATGAGTTAAATGAAAGCTTAAAATGCTATAGAAGTTATGAATATGATTGAAACACCAGCAATTAAAAAAATCATGGCTATGGCATATCCAAAAATTAAAGTTAACTGTAAAATATATATCGACCCTGTTGTCACTCCTATATCTATTTAATGGGTCAATTCATAATTAAAAAATGGATAATTAAATAAAATAACCACATAACAAATTAAATTAATAAATGAAGAATTGCACCTTGATCCTAATGCAAAATTTATTTTACATAAATTTGATCCATAAAAACTAAGAATTCGAATTTTATGTAATTCCTCAATAGATGATACAAGTAGTTCATGGTTCTCTAATTCTTAATAACATATTTTACATGATACAATTTTAGTACATATTCATGGAGGTGGATTCATAGCTCATTCTAGTTCAAGTCATTAATCTTATACTAGAGAATGGGCTATAAAGTTGGGGATTCCTATTTTCTCTATTGATTATTCATTGGCACCTAAATATCCTTATCCTTAAGGCCTAGATGATGTTTGGTAAGCCTATAATTGGATTTTAATTTATTGTTACAAACATTTTGGTATCTTTTTAAGTTAATTAATATCTTATAGATATCCAACCAAAAAGAATTATTGTAGCAGGTGACTCTGCAGGAGGTAATTTAGCTTGTGCTTTAACAGGGTTAGCGATTAAAATGGGTTAGAGAGTACCTGATGGATTATTTATGGCCTATCCTGCTTTAGATCTAAGATTTAATTTTACTCCTTCTTATTTACATGCTTTAACTGATAAAATAATTAGTCATACAATATTGGGAATTTGTGTTGAATCTTATGCTTCAAATCCATTAACATAATTAAGTAGTGATCCATTTATAAATCCAATGTTGTTATCAGATGAAATCCTTGCAAAATTTCCTCCTACAAGATTAATGTGTGGAACAAAGGATCCTTTACATGATAACACTTGGGCTTTTGCATCTAGACTTTTGTAAATTTTAATATATATCAATAGAAAAGTAAAAAAAAATGTTTAATTTATAATCTATGAATAAATTTGCCATGGGTTTTTATGTTACAAAACAATAAAAGGTATGTAAGAAATTTAAGTATGTATTGATGATGCAATAAAATACATACAAGAACTAATAAACTTATCTAAATCCTGAAATACTCATTAAATATAAATAAAAGATATCATTCATCAAGCATCATTATTAATTACATCTTCATCTAATAACTTAATCATAATTCTCAAATCTTTCTTCAATTAATTGAATTTGTTCTAATCATCCTAACTATCAATATAACTTTTGAATCTATTTTTTAAAAACATTTAAAGACCATTTCTGAATGGTAAATAATCTGCATTTTCAAAAAGATTTTTACTTTATTTAGCCATAATATCTATAGAGATGCTAAAAAAAATATTATTAAATATGTTACTTTTATAAAAAATTCTGGATTACGATACATAGAAATTGTGCTTAAATTTCCAATAATTCATCATAGTTAAACCATTTTAATAATAATAAATTAAGACTCTCTTTTTTTAATAGATTTGAACAAAATTTAGCAATATTTATTAATTTTCTTATACTATAATTTTCTAATAATTTAAATTTATCCCATAGCATATATTAAAAAGCTTATTTCATTCCCCTCTCTAAATTTATTAAATAATGAGCTAATTCTTAATAATATGGATTATATGTTTTCTCATTACCACACATTTCAACTATTACTAAACATACATCTTGTTTTTTCTTTTTTAAATAACCTAATTTATCTAAATTTTAAGCAGCCTCAAACAAATCATCTGCTCCCATTATTATGACAAATGCAGTTTTACGAGTTTCAGTTACCATTTTTTAATCAATTGCTAATTATTCTAATTTTTCCAATTTTATATTTCTTTTTTATTATTTAAATTCTTAAAATAATTAACTCTATTCTTCATTACTGACTATAGGTTTCCACCAATTATTACTCAAAAACTAAGATTCATAACTAAAATCAAAGCCTTAACAAAATATTCTATGTATTAATTTTTATGTTCTTTATTTATGCCAATTTAATATAAATTCTAATCTTTCAGATTAACTTATAATTTTTTTATTCAATCTCAAATCATCTAAGGTCATAAGTAAAAATTTTGTTCTTGATTCGCTTACATTTTAAAAAGCTTACTTTATATCTTCTATGATCAATTTCAAAATTGCTGGATTATCTTATCTAATTTTCTTTCCACAATATTAAATAATTATTAATAAATTTTCAACATTATCTGCAGTCTAAGTTTTCAATAAATATTTTATAAATTCCTTAATGAATTGCAATGATATTGATTCAAATAGATACCAATGACAAAATATTAATGTTATATTTTTAACTTCATGATTAGCAGGAGAAGATCTTAATTTAAGAATTACTTGCTTAATTAACTCTCCAAAAAATAGATTGTCATATACCTAATGAAAATAACAAGATGATGCTATAATACAACTCAATAAATAAGGTAGTAATTCAATAGGTTTTATTGTTGATTAAACAATTTATTATCCAAATACTAATCCAACAATCTATTTAGGATGCTAATTAAAAATTTTATCAATTTCATCTACAATATTGTTAATATTTGCTTCTGAAATTTTATTTAAATTTCTATTTAATAGTTTCTTAATCTCCAGTAACTAAGTCTCATCATATTAAATTTCTTAAGGTGGTTAAATTTCTTATACTAATTATTCTTTTTAAACTTTATTTATCTTTTACTCATTAATTGGTTAGTCTTGCTTTTATTAAATCTTCTTTTATAAATTTTCATTTTATTCTTCATATTCTTCTTCTTCTTATTCATCTGACTATTAATTTTCTTCTTCTACTATTTCTTCTTCATCTGGTTGAATTTCATCATCATCAATATCATCATCATCATCTACATTCTATTCTTCATCTTCAATCAAATCATCATCATCTTCATTCTATTCTTCATCTTCAAACATATCAACATCATCTTCATTCTATTCTTCATCATCTTCTCTGTCATCTTCATCTTCATCTTCTTCTTCTTCTTCTTCTATTTCTTCTTATGATTCATCTTTAATTTAATCATCAGATTAATCTTCCAAATTTTACTCTACGCTTACATCCTCATTCGATTCATTTTCATTTTTTTTTTAAAAAGCTAAATAATTTTTAGGCGCATCCTTTTCCTTAATAGTTTAATCAATATGATCTAAGAAATCAAATAAATCCTCTTCTAAACCATCTTCCAAAATTTATGCTTTTGGTAATCTATTCTATTTCAATTTTAATTTTTTAGTTAATCTCTCTATTTCCTTTTCTTCCTATTCTATTTCCCTTTATAATTATAATTTTTTCTTTTCATCTATTTCGTTTTTATTAGAATTTAGTTTCTATTTTACTAATTTTTATTATTATTATTATTTATGTTGATTATTGGTTGATTAATTTTTAATTTCTTAATTTTATTTCTTTTCTTTTTCTTATGGCTAGTTTTAGTTAACATTTTAAACACCTTAGTTTTTCCAATTTCTCTATTAATTAATTTACATATGTTTCTATTTTTTTATCATCTTTTTTTCCTTCCTCAACTTCTTACGATTAAAAACATTGAACTCTGGTTTTATTTATTAGAATCTTTCGTGATGATCATCCTATTAAAGGTTTTCATTTTTCTTCACCATAATTAAATTAATTGATTAAAATGCCAATAACTAAGCGAAAGAAGACTTAAGTTTTAACAAAAACTAAAAAGAAAACTCCAGAAAAAAAAGAGTTACTTGTTAAGAAACTTAAATAAAGCCTTAAAAAATATTAAAGAGCTATCATATTCCAATATAAAAATCTGACCACAAATCCATTAAAAGAAATCCAACAAGCATGGAAGAGTGATTCCAAACTCTTTATTGGAAAAAACAAAGTCATGCAAGTAGGCTTAGGCAGAAATGAAGAATAAAGTGCTACAAAAAATTCCTACCTTCTCTCTCCAGTAATTAAATTTTATATTTGCAGTTTCTTAAAGGTGAAACAGGACTGCTTCTAACCAATAAGACTCTCCAAGAGATCTAAGAATACTGTGATACTTATAAAATTCCTGAATTTGCAAGAGCTGGTCATATATCTGATCAAACTATAGTACTTAAAGAAGGAATTGACACCTTAAAAGGTTTTAGTCATTCTTTAGAACCATATTTGAGAAAATTAGGACTTAATACTTAATTAATAAATCAGCAAATTGTATTAAATGAAAAGTTTATTCTTGCTTAAGAGGGTAAACCTTTAACAGTGGAATAATGTAAATTATTGGTATTTATAATTAATTAAATTTAGCGATTAATGAATTAAAAACTAGCCTATCTTGAAATAGCTCCCCTTTGTGTTTTAGAAAAGAATGGTACATTCAAAAAATTGTGAATATTATTAATATAATTCTTCACGAATAATTGGTAATTCTATTTCTAAGATCGATTGACCAAAAACTAATTATGCCTTTCCCATTTTGTAATTTACTGGATAAGCTAGGATAAATTCCAATTAATATTGGGTGCTTCACATTATGATCTGTTGCTTCTCTTCTAATTGATTTCTTATAATTTATTATCGGATAATTTAATCTTTATTAATTATCTTTAACAATTTTTTCACCTTGGATCAATCAACCATCCCCAAAAAAGATCTCTGTTCCAATTATATACTTATATAATACATTCATCTAAATCTTTTCCTTTATATTTTTCAATAAAATATTCCTTTTCTTAATGATTTCTATTTGTAATATAGATTTTAATTTTTAGAGCATGATATTTAATGCTTTACATTTTTAATCTAGCTTTTGTTTCTTTTATAAATTTCATCCGGCCTTTATCTATGATTCCTTGTAAGTCTATTTCATACAGAAACCTAAGTTGTTTGAGCAATTTTTTTTCAACTCTTTTTTTATTATACTACTGATTAATCTTGATCACTTTATACAAGCTTTACTTAAACATAAAGTATGCATTTCTTATTTTTTATCATCAGACAAAAATCATTTGATGTAAAAAACTCACCTAATTAGAATTATTTTTAATATTATAGAAAAAGCTCTATTCATCTTTAGGCTGTATTAAAAAAAGGCTAAAAAGTATTTTGATTTTTCTTTATTATTTTTATTTTTGTTTACTATTAATCATCTAAATTTCTTTTATCAGAGGCACAACGTTATAAATTTAAACTTTCCTTTAATTAATGATGTACCATTCAAAAGGTTTAAAACTATCTATTATTAAGAAGACAATTAAATTCAACCTAAGAAATAATTATTTTATTGAAATCAAAATTAATGTAATAAAAAGTTTCTAAAAAATTTGCCTCTCAATTCTGCATTTATTAAATTTCTTACCTATATTCTTAACCATTTCCAAATAAATGCCTTTAAGAAAATAGTTATGAATATATTATATAAACAATAATTTCTTTAAAGAAATTGAAATATGTAAAATAAATAAAATTTTATAGGTTTTGTTAAAGAATAACTTAAAGGAGTTAAAGTTAAACAAACTAAAATTGAAAAACATGATTTTATGAAAACATTAAAGATGATAGAAGATTAGTTATTATAATCAATTAAAATAGATAAGAAGGCAAGTTGTGGAGAAATATAGCTTAAAAAAACAAATCGAGAAGTAGAATTGAAATAATAAAAACAAATAATCTAGCTTTAATAAAAGCTTTCATAAGCATAAAAAGACTGCTAAGATCTTAAAGAATAAAATCATCAAATATATACAGAAATGAAAAAATAAAAATAAATAATAAAATCTTTAGAAAGAGAAAAGTAATAGTATTAAAAAGACAAAGTAATTTGGGATAAAAAACTTTAAAATTAAGAAGAGTTGTATTCAACAAATTTAAGAATGACTGATGATGTTAAAAAGGTTTTAAATATGATAAATGAGGATATAGATAGAGAAGCTGTGGTTAAAGCTAAGAAAATGAAATGAAGCATATTATTATTATTTTTTTAATTGATTGGAAAAGTATTTTGCATAACAGCAATCCCTTAAAAAATAAATGACCTTTATAATAATACATATCATATTTCTTTCTCTTTAAGTTTTTATTATTACTCATTATAATCAACAATACTTATGAAATATATGTTAACAATACAATTATGCTTTTAATTTGTTCAAATTAAAACTTCTAATATTTAAAAAATAACTGTATAAATTTTTATATGAGACTCTTTTTAATATTTTTAATTTGTAAATAGTGTTCAACCTTTTAGTTATCCATAATAAATCAATAATAGTTAAAACAATAATAATATTCATAAGAATTAAATTTAGATATTTATAACTTTATATGATACTAATCAATCTCTAATGGCATTGATTCCAAATCTTCTCTTTAAGACCTTTCTAATGAGTTCTCTAGCCATCTCTTATTAGATACCAATGTCTAATTAATTAGTAAATCCAATGCATGAAACATTGACTTCACTAATCCAATATTTATCTTTTCCATTTTCATCAGTGTCAAGAATAAAGTCACATGTCCAATCTAAAATGGTTTCAACATCTCCAAGATTGTCAGTCAAATATTAAAGACATGATGTAAAGAATTTAATGAGTTCTGGCCATGCTTCTGGTGATTCATATTTGTAGGTTGCTCCAGAGAAAAGTGTTGCTGAAAAAGCATCTTATTTATCAGCTGGTTTCTTATGAATAACAAACAATGGTTTTGTTCCCATTAAAAAGATTCTGACTTCACCTTCCTTGATTCTTGGTAAGAATCTCATATCAATGAGGAAGTTTTCTTCAACTCTATAATATTTTTCACACAATTTAAAGAAGCTTTCAAGTGTGTGATGTTCAACATGATTGTCTACTGCTTCAGTGCATTTGATCTTAGTATCTAATGGTAAAGCTTATCCCTTAACAACTTAGACTCCCTCGGCAACTTAAATTCTCCAGATTCCTTCTCCTGTGGATCCTCTATTTTATTTAAGAACTCTTTCTCCATTAGTCAAAGAAGTTGGGAAATTCTTGACTAACTCATCCCATTTGAAATAAGCAACTGTGTCAGCTGGTGAAAGTGGAGTTTTATTGAGGTCTACAAGACTCAATTTGGAATCATATTTCATAAGAGTGTCTGGGTGTGGTGTACCAACTACTCCAGCAGCACACATTTCTCTCAAGGCTTGATTGAAGACAGCCTCACCATTTGGAAGATTTCCTGTATTGATTCTTGGAATGTAAGCATCACAGTTTTCAATCACATACTTTGTGATGGCTTCCTTCCATTCATCTCTAAAGAAGATGACTTCAGCAGTCCATCCTAATTCTTTGAAGGCTTCAACAATTGGCATTGTGTCCTTTCTATGACCATTCCAAGTCTTATCTGAACCTCCTTCAGCTTCAAAAATAGCCACTCTTCTGTGTAGTTTTCTTACTTAAGCCATTATACAAAAAGATATTTTTATATTTAAGATATTAAGCAAATATAATGCAAATTTATATACCCCTAATAATTATATATTATAATAAAATGCACGTGCATAAATTTATATTAATTGCTTATTATTACATAATATTACTAACAATTTTCTAGAAGTATCTAGAAATTAAATATTGGAATAATTAATAATAATTCAAATATTGCATGTAGAATCTAACATTTATAAAGCTTTTAATTAGCTTTTGAAGGATAGACTGAACAAATTATGATTATATTTATTTATAACTCATTAAGTTCCTTTCTTTTTGTAGACCTTTCTAATAAGCTCTTGTGCCATTTCTTGTTAGATACCAATATCTAATTAATTAGTAAATCCAATGCATGAAACATTGACTTCACTAATCCAATATTTATCTTTTCCATTTTCATCAGTGTCAAGAATAAAGTCACATGTCCAATCTAAAATGGTTTCAACATCTCCAAGATTGTCAGTCAAATATTAAAGACATGATGTAAAGAATTTAATGAGTTCTGGCCATGCTTCTGGTGATTCATATTTGTAGGTTGCTCCAGAGAAAAGTGTTGCTGAAAAAGCATCTTATTTATCAGCTGGTTTCTTATGAATAACAAACAATGGTTTTGTTCCCATTAAAAAGATTCTGACTTCACCTTCCTTGATTCTTGGTAAGAATCTCATATCAATGAGGAAGTTTTCTTCAACTCTATAATATTTTTCACACAATTTAAAGAAGCTTTCAAGTGTGTGATGTTCAACATGATTGTCTACTGCTTCAGTGCATTTGATCTTAGTATCTAATGGTAAAGCTTATCCCTTAACAACTTAGACTCCCTCGGCAACTTAAATTCTCCAGATTCCTTCTCCTGTGGATCCTCTATTTTATTTAAGAACTCTTTCTCCATTAGTCAAAGAAGTTGGGAAATTCTTGACTAACTCATCCCATTTGAAATAAGCAACTGTGTCAGCTGGTGAAAGTGGAGTTTTATTGAGGTCTACAAGACTCAATTTGGAATCATATTTCATAAGAGTGTCTGGGTGTGGTGTACCAACTACTCCAGCAGCACACATTTCTCTCAAGGCTTGATTGAAGACAGCCTCACCATTTGGAAGATTTCCTGTATTGATTCTTGGAATGTAAGCATCACAGTTTTCAATCACATACTTTGTGATGGCTTCCTTCCATTCATCTCTAAAGAAGATGACTTCAGCAGTCCATCCTAATTCTTTGAAGGCTTCAACAATTGGCATTGTGTCCTTTCTATGACCATTCCAAGTCTTATCTGAACCTCCTTCAGCTTCAAAAATAGCCACTCTTCTGTGTAGTTTTCTTACTTAAGCCATTATACAAAAAGATATTTTTATATTTAAGATATTAAGCAAATATAATGCAAATTTATATACCCCTAATAATTATATATTATAATAAAATGCACGTGCATAAATTTATATTAATTGCTTATTATTACATAATATTACTAACAATTTTCTAGAAGTATCTAGAAATTAAATATTGGAATAATTAATAATAATTCAAATATTGCATGTAGAATCTAACATTTATAAAGCTTTTAATTAGCTTTTGAAGGATAGACTGAACAAATTATGATTATATTTATTTATAACTCATTAAGTTCCTTTCTTTTTGTAGACCTTTCTAATAAGCTCTTGTGCCATTTCTTGTTAGATACCAATATCTAATTAATTAGTAAATCCAATGCATGAAACATTGACTTCACTAATCCAATATTTATCTTTTCCATTTTCATCAGTGTCAAGAATAAAGTCACATGTCCAATCTAAAATGGTTTCAACATCTCCAAGATTGTCAGTCAAATATTAAAGACATGATGTAAAGAATTTAATGAGTTCTGGCCATGCTTCTGGTGATTCATATTTGTAGGTTGCTCCAGAGAAAAGTGTTGCTGAAAAAGCATCTTATTTATCAGCTGGTTTCTTATGAATAACAAACAATGGTTTTGTTCCCATTAAAAAGATTCTGACTTCACCTTCCTTGATTCTTGGTAAGAATCTCATATCAATGAGGAAGTTTTCTTCAACTCTATAATATTTTTCACACAATTTAAAGAAGCTTTCAAGTGTGTGATGTTCAACATGATTGTCTACTGCTTCAGTGCATTTGATCTTAGTATCTAATGGTAAAGCTTATCCCTTAACAACTTAGACTCCCTCGGCAACTTAAATTCTCCAGATTCCTTCTCCTGTGGATCCTCTATTTTATTTAAGAACTCTTTCTCCATTAGTCAAAGAAGTTGGGAAATTCTTGACTAACTCATCCCATTTGAAATAAGCAACTGTGTCAGCTGGTGAAAGTGGAGTTTTATTGAGGTCTACAAGACTCAATTTGGAATCATATTTCATAAGAGTGTCTGGGTGTGGTGTACCAACTACTCCAGCAGCACACATTTCTCTCAAGGCTTGATTGAAGACAGCCTCACCATTTGGAAGATTTCCTGTATTGATTCTTGGAATGTAAGCATCACAGTTTTCAATCACATACTTTGTGATGGCTTCCTTCCATTCATCTCTAAAGAAGATGACTTCAGCAGTCCATCCTAATTCTTTGAAGGCTTCAACAATTGGCATTGTGTCCTTTCTATGACCATTCCAAGTCTTATCTGAACCTCCTTCAGCTTCAAAAATAGCCACTCTTCTGTGTAGTTTTCTTACTTAAGCCATTATACAAAAAGATATTTTTATATTTAAGATATTAAGCAAATATAATGCAAATTTATATACCCCTAATAATTATATATTATAATAAAATGCACGTGCATAAATTTATATTAATTGCTTATTATTACATAATATTACTAACAATTTTCTAGAAGTATCTAGAAATTAAATATTGGAATAATTAATAATAATTCAAATATTGCATGTAGAATCTAACATTTATAAAGCTTTTAATTAGCTTTTGAAGGATAGACTGAACAAATTATGATTATATTTATTTATAACTCATTAAGTTCCTTTCTTTTTGTAGACCTTTCTAATAAGCTCTTGTGCCATTTCTTGTTAGATACCAATATCTAATTAATTAGTAAATCCAATGCATGAAACATTGACTTCACTAATCCAATATTTATCTTTTCCATTTTCATCAGTGTCAAGAATAAAGTCACATGTCCAATCTAAAATGGTTTCAACATCTCCAAGATTGTCAGTCAAATATTAAAGACATGATGTAAAGAATTTAATGAGTTCTGGCCATGCTTCTGGTGATTCATATTTGTAGGTTGCTCCAGAGAAAAGTGTTGCTGAAAAAGCATCTTATTTATCAGCTGGTTTCTTATGAATAACAAACAATGGTTTTGTTCCCATTAAAAAGATTCTGACTTCACCTTCCTTGATTCTTGGTAAGAATCTCATATCAATGAGGAAGTTTTCTTCAACTCTATAATATTTTTCACACAATTTAAAGAAGCTTTCAAGTGTGTGATGTTCAACATGATTGTCTACTGCTTCAGTGCATTTGATCTTAGTATCTAATGGTAAAGCTTATCCCTTAACAACTTAGACTCCCTCGGCAACTTAAATTCTCCAGATTCCTTCTCCTGTGGATCCTCTATTTTATTTAAGAACTCTTTCTCCATTAGTCAAAGAAGTTGGGAAATTCTTGACTAACTCATCCCATTTGAAATAAGCAACTGTGTCAGCTGGTGAAAGTGGAGTTTTATTGAGGTCTACAAGACTCAATTTGGAATCATATTTCATAAGAGTGTCTGGGTGTGGTGTACCAACTACTCCAGCAGCACACATTTCTCTCAAGGCTTGATTGAAGACAGCCTCACCATTTGGAAGATTTCCTGTATTGATTCTTGGAATGTAAGCATCACAGTTTTCAATCACATACTTTGTGATGGCTTCCTTCCATTCATCTCTAAAGAAGATGACTTCAGCAGTCCATCCTAATTCTTTGAAGGCTTCAACAATTGGCATTGTGTCCTTTCTATGACCATTCCAAGTCTTATCTGAACCTCCTTCAGCTTCAAAAATAGCCACTCTTCTGTGTAGTTTTCTTACTTAAGCCATTATACAAAAAGATATTTTTATATTTAAGATATTAAGCAAATATAATGCAAATTTATATACCCCTAATAATTATATATTATAATAAAATGCACGTGCATAAATTTATATTAATTGCTTATTATTACATAATATTACTAACAATTTTCTAGAAGTATCTAGAAATTAAATATTGGAATAATTAATAATAATTCAAATATTGCATGTAGAATCTAACATTTATAAAGCTTTTAATTAGCTTTTGAAGGATAGACTGAACAAATTATGATTATATTTATTTATAACTCATTAAGTTCCTTTCTTTTTGTAGACCTTTCTAATAAGCTCTTGTGCCATTTCTTGTTAGATACCAATATCTAATTAATTAGTAAATCCAATGCATGAAACATTGACTTCACTAATCCAATATTTATCTTTTCCATTTTCATCAGTGTCAAGAATAAAGTCACATGTCCAATCTAAAATGGTTTCAACATCTCCAAGATTGTCAGTCAAATATTAAAGACATGATGTAAAGAATTTAATGAGTTCTGGCCATGCTTCTGGTGATTCATATTTGTAGGTTGCTCCAGAGAAAAGTGTTGCTGAAAAAGCATCTTATTTATCAGCTGGTTTCTTATGAATAACAAACAATGGTTTTGTTCCCATTAAAAAGATTCTGACTTCACCTTCCTTGATTCTTGGTAAGAATCTCATATCAATGAGGAAGTTTTCTTCAACTCTATAATATTTTTCACACAATTTAAAGAAGCTTTCAAGTGTGTGATGTTCAACATGATTGTCTACTGCTTCAGTGCATTTGATCTTAGTATCTAATGGTAAAGCTTATCCCTTAACAACTTAGACTCCCTCGGCAACTTAAATTCTCCAGATTCCTTCTCCTGTGGATCCTCTATTTTATTTAAGAACTCTTTCTCCATTAGTCAAAGAAGTTGGGAAATTCTTGACTAACTCATCCCATTTGAAATAAGCAACTGTGTCAGCTGGTGAAAGTGGAGTTTTATTGAGGTCTACAAGACTCAATTTGGAATCATATTTCATAAGAGTGTCTGGGTGTGGTGTACCAACTACTCCAGCAGCACACATTTCTCTCAAGGCTTGATTGAAGACAGCCTCACCATTTGGAAGATTTCCTGTATTGATTCTTGGAATGTAAGCATCACAGTTTTCAATCACATACTTTGTGATGGCTTCCTTCCATTCATCTCTAAAGAAGATGACTTCAGCAGTCCATCCTAATTCTTTGAAGGCTTCAACAATTGGCATTGTGTCCTTTCTATGACCATTCCAAGTCTTATCTGAACCTCCTTCAGCTTCAAAAATAGCCACTCTCTTATGAATTTTGTTCTAAGCCATTATTATATAAGATATTTTATATTTAACTTTTTCTCTTAATCAAGAAGGAGATTTAAGCTCCTTATTATATTAAATTTATTTTGCACGTGTATTAAATTATTTAAAATATCATTTTATCATTTAGCACAAAAATATCTTCTTTATTTAATTTTGTTAATAAAGAGCAGAATTAATTATAAAAATGATAATTATAAAATTCTTTAAATTTATTTTAGTTGCTTCTAAGTTATATTAAATTATTAAATGACTTCCTTCTTTCTATCCTCACTTAGAATCTTTAAATTAGGTTGATTTCAAAATATTCTAAATTCTTTTGAATTGCGATTATTTAGTTCTATTCATTTTATACTTTAGTTGTTTTATTTTAAAATAATAAAGTTTCGATAATCTTATTTATTTTAATCGCTTTGTAGGTGATTTATATTTTTACATGCTGTTTAAATTATTTGACATTTATATATATATATAAATAAGTTAATTCATAGTAATTACATTCATTCTCCCAAGTCTAATCTATTAACTTCATGTAATTCTTCAAAAAGTTCTTCAGAGTATTTATGCTTCAGATCTAGTTTCTTGTTTTTTTAACTTTTGTCTTCTACAGATTAGCTCTTTGATATATAAATATTATACTTTTTTGATTTAGGGTGGTAATTTTTAGGATGCTTCATTAATAACTGCAATTTATTGATCGGGAATATCATTAAAGAACTTAACAATCTTTTATATTATTGATTTTTTCTTTTTAAGTGGAGTACTTTGCATGGTGTCTATTTTTAATAATAGGTATTATAATATTAACTCACTTTCAATATATATTGTAAGATTTAAAATGTTGCTGTAATGACGCATTTATTTTTTTGTAATTAGAATTAATTTATTGTATTATTATTTAGTTAAGTGAAAGAGTATTTCTTAATTTAGGTTTCGAATATGTCAGGATATTATGAAACTTCATAAATTAATTGTTACAATAAGATAAATTTTTGAGATTTTTAAGAAAAATATATTAGTTATCTAATTGTTTAAAACTTGAAGGCATATGCATCAATAATAATTTTTAGTTGCTTGCCACAAAACATGTTAGTCTAATTTTATTCGAACACATCATACATCAAAAATCAATGTCAAAATTAGAATGGAATTTAATGATTGGTTACCTTACTGATAGTAGGTTATTGAAAATTATGTTAAATTTGGATTTGACAATAAAGATGGCTACTATTTTACAGAAAGAATTTGGAAAGCTTAAGAATTTTATATTATTTTATCAATTTATATCTTGATAATTCATAATATATAATGCTCAAAAAGTAAAGTATTTATGATATGATTAAAATACAGGTTAGAATATCTCGAAATTAAGTAAGGTATAATTTCTTCAGCTTGAATATGAAGACCTCCCAAATTTAAAAATGCTTTTTACTGCCGTTATGGTTCAAATTAGTTATTATGATTGCTTCAAAGATCGTTTATAACTTTAAGATTAGAAATTTTGTAGAATATTGATAATGAAAGAAAATTAAATAAATAACTTTAGGAAATCAAAGTGAGGGATTTACAAGGAACCCTTAATTTTAGAAGATTTATTGAAAGTTTCCAATTCCTTTTATTAGTTACTAATTTAACTTAAATATGATAAGATTATTATAATTAAATTTTGTATGAGGTAGTAACCTTTTAGATAATTTGATGAAGAATATTTAGTTGATAATAGTGGAGATAAAATGCAAGCATTTGAGTAATACAAAACTGATTATTAACAAAGCAAGACATTAATTTATAATTATATATCTTTTATCGCCTGAAGGGTATTATGGAATAGAGTTTTATTAAAAATTCTTCAAAAATTAAATTGATGATAATAAACTTTTTAAACCTACCAAATCCAACAAATATCAACTATGGACCAGAATATGGGATTTTTTATTTTTTCCTTTAATTTGATCTAAGTTAAAACTATATAAATAGTCTGAAGTTTGAGTAAAATATAAAATAAAAAAAACTATATGTCAATTTTTGATTAGTGTTCATTAAATTACTTCAATATATGCTATCTAAAATATTTGTCTCCACAAAAATAAAATAATCAAGATCAATAATTTTGTTATATTCATTGAAAAATATAAAATGTTTAGGTAAAAATAATATCTAGCTTATAGATTATTATGCTGAGAAAACATAATTGGGTTTATCCTATTATATTTAAGCTATATTTTAATGAATTTCAATCCTAACCAAATATTAAAAGTAAATCCCAAAATATATAGCCAAAGTTAATCTTCTAAATAGAGATAATAACATTCTCCATTAATATATTTGCGTCAGTTACTAGATAAGTGTCATATCATAATTATATTATTCTGTTTATGATTTGGATGCTTAAACATTTACAAAACATAATTTTCTTTCAGATTCTAAAAGAAATTAAATTCTACTCCGCAAACATAACGAATGAATAAACGAAATAAAAATTAAATATTTCATTGTTTTAATGATTAGAACTATTTTTAATAGTTTTCCCACTCTTTTCTAATAGTTTCTCTTAACTATTTTCTTTTTTGGTTGATTTCATTAATATTTCTTTTTAGAATCAGTAATTCTGTTATGATTTCTTTGTCAGAGTGTGAAGATTCACATTTTTATGTTTTGAAATTTATATCACAAAAAAAGTTTTTTGTTTCTTCATCATCCTCTTCCTCCTCTTCCAACTATTCCAATTATTAATTAACTTTCTTTTTTAATTTTCGCTATTATCTTTTTTTTCTTTATTTTTCTTTCTTCACTTCAATTTATTTTTCTTCTTACTCTATGTATGCTATAAGCATTTATTATTATTTCTCATATTCGATTTGTTGAATTCTATTCTCTATTTTTTAAATGATTATTTATTTAAGCTATAATATTTTGGATTAATTTTACAATTCTAATAAAATTTATTTTTAAATGATACTTCTAAATAAATTGATCCCTACCATTTAAAATTTATTCTAAAATCAAAGAGCTTATAGCTCTTAATATTTTCGATTTAAAATTATCTTAAATTTAAATATCTAATACTGTTGTACCAAATTTTAAAATTTTATCGAAGAGAATATACTATGCATACTGAAATAAGAAAATACATCATAATTAATTATTATTTAATTATCTCTTTATCGAATAAATTCATTGAAATTGATATTATCCTAAGGATCTATTATTTCATTTATGTGCATTATAATCTCTTTTTCATTATTAATTGTCTCATTTACTTGCATTTATTTAAGAAAGTAATTTACTTGAGCCTTAAAAACATCAGCACGTATTATAATTTAGAATTCTCCTTTAAATAAAAACTTTGGAAAATCCATTAAGCTTAATCTATTTTATCCAAGTAAATTAAGTGAAGATTTCTATTTTTTATTACTAAATAAATCATTTCTTTTTGATCCAATTAAATTTGAAGTATGAATCTCACATTAGATTCTATATTGTTTTAAATCACTTTATAAAAACAAGAATTTTTCTTATCTACTCAAAAATGTTTGATATAATTCTTTATATTAACTTATAAGATCCTTGGCACAATTCTAACAAACAATTAGTTCTCTACAAGTTGACATAAATTCACTATCTGTAAAATTTGAATTCCTCTCAAATTCTTTCTCGTTTATTANGTATTTATGATATGATTAAAATACAGGTTAGAATATCTCGAAATTAAGTAAGGTATAATTTCTTCAGCTTGAATATGAAGACCTCCCAAATTTAAAAATGCTTTTTACTGCCGTTATGGTTCAAATTAGTTATTATGATTGCTTCAAAGATCGTTTATAACTTTAAGATTAGAAATTTTGTAGAATATTGATAATGAAAGAAAATTAAATAAATAACTTTAGGAAATCAAAGTGAGGGATTTACAAGGAACCCTTAATTTTAGAAGATTTATTGAAAGTTTCCAATTCCTTTTATTAGTTACTAATTTAACTTAAATATGATAAGATTATTATAATTAAATTTTGTATGAGGTAGTAACCTTTTAGATAATTTGATGAAGAATATTTAGTTGATAATAGTGGAGATAAAATGCAAGCATTTGAGTAATACAAAACTGATTATTAACAAAGCAAGACATTAATTTATAATTATATATCTTTTATCGCCTGAAGGGTATTATGGAATAGAGTTTTATTAAAAATTCTTCAAAAATTAAATTGATGATAATAAACTTTTTAAACCTACCAAATCCAACAAATATCAACTATGGACCAGAATATGGGATTTTTTATTTTTTCCTTTAATTTGATCTAAGTTAAAACTATATAAATAGTCTGAAGTTTGAGTAAAATATAAAATAAAAAAAACTATATGTCAATTTTTGATTAGTGTTCATTAAATTACTTCAATATATGCTATCTAAAATATTTGTCTCCACAAAAATAAAATAATCAAGATCAATAATTTTGTTATATTCATTGAAAAATATAAAATGTTTAGGTAAAAATAATATCTAGCTTATAGATTATTATGCTGAGAAAACATAATTGGGTTTATCCTATTATATTTAAGCTATATTTTAATGAATTTCAATCCTAACCAAATATTAAAAGTAAATCCCAAAATATATAGCCAAAGTTAATCTTCTAAATAGAGATAATAACATTCTCCATTAATATATTTGCGTCAGTTACTAGATAAGTGTCATATCATAATTATATTATTCTGTTTATGATTTGGATGCTTAAACATTTACAAAACATAATTTTCTTTCAGATTCTAAAAGAAATTAAATTCTACTCCGCAAACATAACGAATGAATAAACGAAATAAAAATTAAATATTTCATTGTTTTAATGATTAGAACTATTTTTAATAGTTTTCCCACTCTTTTCTAATAGTTTCTCTTAACTATTTTCTTTTTTGGTTGATTTCATTAATATTTCTTTTTAGAATCAGTAATTCTGTTATGATTTCTTTGTCAGAGTGTGAAGATTCACATTTTTATGTTTTGAAATTTATATCACAAAAAAAGTTTTTTGTTTCTTCATCATCCTCTTCCTCCTCTTCCAACTATTCCAATTATTAATTAACTTTCTTTTTTAATTTTCGCTATTATCTTTTTTTTCTTTATTTTTCTTTCTTCACTTCAATTTATTTTTCTTCTTACTCTATGTATGCTATAAGCATTTATTATTATTTCTCATATTCGATTTGTTGAATTCTATTCTCTATTTTTTAAATGATTATTTATTTAAGCTATAATATTTTGGATTAATTTTACAATTCTAATAAAATTTATTTTTAAATGATACTTCTAAATAAATTGATCCCTACCATTTAAAATTTATTCTAAAATCAAAGAGCTTATAGCTCTTAATATTTTCGATTTAAAATTATCTTAAATTTAAATATCTAATACTGTTGTACCAAATTTTAAAATTTTATCGAAGAGAATATACTATGCATACTGAAATAAGAAAATACATCATAATTAATTATTATTTAATTATCTCTTTATCGAATAAATTCATTGAAATTGATATTATCCTAAGGATCTATTATTTCATTTATGTGCATTATAATCTCTTTTTCATTATTAATTGTCTCATTTACTTGCATTTATTTAAGAAAGTAATTTACTTGAGCCTTAAAAACATCAGCACGTATTATAATTTAGAATTCTCCTTTAAATAAAAACTTTGGAAAATCCATTAAGCTTAATCTATTTTATCCAAGTAAATTAAGTGAAGATTTCTATTTTTTATTACTAAATAAATCATTTCTTTTTGATCCAATTAAATTTGAAGTATGAATCTCACATTAGATTCTATATTGTTTTAAATCACTTTATAAAAACAAGAATTTTTCTTATCTACTCAAAAATGTTTGATATAATTCTTTATATTAACTTATAAGATCCTTGGCACAATTCTAACAAACAATTAGTTCTCTACAAGTTGACATAAATTCACTATCTGTAAAATTTGAATTCCTCTCAAATTCTTTCTCGTTTATTAAATTTTATTCAATATGATTGTATTTTATAGTTGATGTATTTTCTAAAGAATTTATAGTTCCTTTGACAAATTGAACTTATTTCTTTTAATTTACTTTCATAAATATATATATTAAATATTGAGTAGATTATAATGAATCATAACCTTATTTATAATTGCAAATATGATTAGAAAACAAATTGATTCTGAAAATTTATGAAGCCAAAATGAAATATTAGTTATATTGATCAATCAGATTATTATAGATCTTCCCTTTTAATTTTTTATTCTTCAATTAATTAATCTATTTCATTTTTTTCAAACCATTTTATTCTTTTTCCTTCATTCCATTCTCCAACTTTAACTTCTTTATTTTATAAATAGTATATTCCAATCCCATGTTACCTGCCTTTTATAAACTTATATTTACATACCTTGAATCCAAGTTCCAATATATTTTCTTCCATCAGCCCATTCAAAAACTCCTTTACCATGTTTTTTATCTTCTTCATATTCCTATTTTAGAATTAACTTATTACTCCAGTATATTTCCTTCCATCTTGCCAAATTATCTATCCTTTTCCATGCATTTTATTCTTCTTCCATTATCCTTTATAAACTCTTTTATCAGGCCAAATGTAAGTACCTTCACCATGTATGTCATTTTATAAAAACTCACCTATAAATANACAATTCTAATAAAATTTATTTTTAAATGATACTTCTAAATAAATTGATCCCTACCATTTAAAATTTATTCTAAAATCAAAGAGCTTATAGCTCTTAATATTTTCGATTTAAAATTATCTTAAATTTAAATATCTAATACTGTTGTACCAAATTTTAAAATTTTATCGAAGAGAATATACTATGCATACTGAAATAAGAAAATACATCATAATTAATTATTATTTAATTATCTCTTTATCGAATAAATTCATTGAAATTGATATTATCCTAAGGATCTATTATTTCATTTATGTGCATTATAATCTCTTTTTCATTATTAATTGTCTCATTTACTTGCATTTATTTAAGAAAGTAATTTACTTGAGCCTTAAAAACATCAGCACGTATTATAATTTAGAATTCTCCTTTAAATAAAAACTTTGGAAAATCCATTAAGCTTAATCTATTTTATCCAAGTAAATTAAGTGAAGATTTCTATTTTTTATTACTAAATAAATCATTTCTTTTTGATCCAATTAAATTTGAAGTATGAATCTCACATTAGATTCTATATTGTTTTAAATCACTTTATAAAAACAAGAATTTTTCTTATCTACTCAAAAATGTTTGATATAATTCTTTATATTAACTTATAAGATCCTTGGCACAATTCTAACAAACAATTAGTTCTCTACAAGTTGACATAAATTCACTATCTGTAAAATTTGAATTCCTCTCAAATTCTTTCTCGTTTATTAAATTTTATTCAATATGATTGTATTTTATAGTTGATGTATTTTCTAAAGAATTTATAGTTCCTTTGACAAATTGAACTTATTTCTTTTAATTTACTTTCATAAATATATATATTAAATATTGAGTAGATTATAATGAATCATAACCTTATTTATAATTGCAAATATGATTAGAAAACAAATTGATTCTGAAAATTTATGAAGCCAAAATGAAATATTAGTTATATTGATCAATCAGATTATTATAGATCTTCCCTTTTAATTTTTTATTCTTCAATTAATTAATCTATTTCATTTTTTTCAAACCATTTTATTCTTTTTCCTTCATTCCATTCTCCAACTTTAACTTCTTTATTTTATAAATAGTATATTCCAATCCCATGTTACCTGCCTTTTATAAACTTATATTTACATACCTTGAATCCAAGTTCCAATATATTTTCTTCCATCAGCCCATTCAAAAACTCCTTTACCATGTTTTTTATCTTCTTCATATTCCTATTTTAGAATTAACTTATTACTCCAGTATATTTCCTTCCATCTTGCCAAATTATCTATCCTTTTCCATGCATTTTATTCTTCTTCCATTATCCTTTATAAACTCTTTTATCAGGCCAAATGTAAGTACCTTCACCATGTATGTCATTTTATAAAAACTCACCTATAAATAATTAAATCTACTAATTTACCATCATATCTTGATCCATCTGCAAAATTTAAAATTCCTTTTCCATGTTTTTTACCTTCAAAATATTAACCTTCATATTTAGCTCCATCTGGCCAATTTTCAACTCCTCTTCCATGTTATTTATCATTTTCCCACTTAAAATATATAAATAGATATACTTCTCCTTCATATTTTGCACCATTAACATGAATATAAGTACCTTTTCCATTAGCTTTATCATTTTTCCATTCTCCATCATAAACATCACCATCAGCATGAGTCAATTTCCCCTAAAATTATAAATTTAAATACCCTTCCCGATGACTTATCTTCCACCCATTCACCTTCGTAAATAGAACCATCAGGCCATTTTTATTTACCAAAACCATCCCTCATTCCGTTCTTCCATTCTCCTTCATATACAGCCCCTGATTCTAATTAAATAGGAGGTAGCTTTTTTCTTTCATTGCAGTTCATTGTACTTTTAATTAAATCATTCCCTTCTTAGTTATTTGCGACATTCATGCTAACTGAATGATTTGCTGATATATTTAACTATTTATCCTATTCTTATGATTTTTTTGAGTTCTCATCAACATTTTTAGCAGGTGTTTCTTTAACGGCTTCTTTTTTTGGCTCTTTTTTAGTTTCTTTTTTCTATTTTTATTATTCTTAATCCACAACAAATCTCTCATGATCTTTTGCTTAAATTTTTTATTCTTGTTATGTAATATCATTTTCAGAATTATCATGTTTAGGTTTTAGTTTATCTCTTCCTAATTTTAATTCAGTAGTATCACTCTCCTATTTAGCACAGCATGATTAACAATTAGCAGCACCCATAATATTTATTTAAATATTAAATATTAATATAGAAGAACAAAAATTTCAGCATTCGATTATAGATATCAAATTGATTAAAGAAAATAAGTTAATCATAATAATATTTTCCTTTTAGTATAAATTAAAATGTTTAAATTTCATTAATTATTCATCACTAAATTTTGCTCTTATAGAAATGTATTTATACCAAAAGAGAAATTAGAATGTAGATTTAGCAAAAGTTCTGGACCAGGAGGATAACATGTTAATAAAACAAATTCTAAAGCAGAAATAAGATTTAATTTATAAACTGCTGATTGGTTAAATGAAGAATAGAAAAAAAAATTCATAAGACTTTATCCTAATTATGTAAATAAAGAAGGAGAAATTATATTAACAAGTTAATTTACTAGAGAATAATCTAAAAATTTAGAAGATGCAATTGATAAATTAAGAGAAATGATTTTTGAATGTAGTAAACCAGATAAAAATTAATTTACAATACCTCCTCCCAGTTAAAATAAAATTAAATAAAGAATTTAATGCAAAAGATAGAGATCAGATGTTAAAAAAACAAGAAATATTAAATGAAATATGTAGCTTTTATTTGTGTAAATTAAATTAGAATTATCTAAACACAAATAATATTTATCACAGAACTGATGCCATCCTTTCTATAAGTTTTGTATCACAAAGTGCACTTTTTAAATATAAATCATGTAACTTACTCATTAAAATAGCATTCTATCTTAAATCATCAAATCTAAATGTTATAACCTAGATTTAAATAATTAATTAATTACAATTTCCAATAATTTATAGAATTCTCTAGATCCAATCCTTGTAATTAAATAACTATAAGCAATTTCATATATTTCTTAAGTTGTTATTTCTCTAACTTCTTTTAATCTCTATAAAACTGATTAAATATCATTAATACTTTTTCTTTCAATATCAACATAAAACTCTTAATTATCATTTTCTGTAATATAATAGGATTTAATTATTTCAGCTAATTCTATTGATGTAAATTCATGTTTCAAAGATGAAATTTTATTCATCATTATTTTAAATAATTTCCTATTTTTTTTATAAAATAAAATTACTTTGATCCTCTATATGAAAGTAGAAAACTTTTAATAATTAATTTTAATTCTTATAACTCATATTTATCAAAATTTTCTAAAATCTTACTTTCTAATTTCTAATTAAATATTTCACTACCAAATTCAAAACCAAATCCTTAACTTATTAAACAAGTTTATTCAAAATTCAAAGTATCAAATTATTTCAATATATATTATTCTATTCCAATAAAATAATTTTTAAATTATTAACTTTTAACAATATCAGAAGTGTCTTATTTTTCACAGAGTTATCCCATAACAAGAACTCCTTAAGTTATTGTATTCATAGGTAATTTTTGATAGATTTATTAATCTTATGAATTTTACAACATAATTCCTACTAATCCTCGAATAAATTATTTAGTTCTAATAATTAATCATAATGTTTGTTACCCTCTTTAAACTCTCCAATAACACATCAAAGTTTAAATAACACATTAATATTATTAATTTATATCTTATATTTTATTGATTTAATCTTAAATTTAATTCTCACATTAATCCCAAAATTAATCTGATCCTTCTTTTTAATTGCTTAAATGTGATAATATTTCTAAAAGCTACTCTAAATTTAATTTTGACATTCTATTCAAAATTGATATTTCTAATTAACCCCAAATCTCATGTTCTGAAGGTAAACATAAAATATCTAATAATTTTGTAATTTTAACTAAATTTTCAACATTGCTTATAATTCTTATCTGTTTTGATAAAATAGCTTAAAATTCTTAAAATTCATATCTTATCAAATCATCTTCTGTAATTCTATCTGCAAATTAAATAAAAGCATTAACACATGTCATTAAATTTTGCTCAGTTAATTACACTTTAAGTGTTCCTAAGAAATTAAACATTTCTTCTGGATGTTTAAATTCACTAGAATATTAGATATTGATGTTATCAATAAAAACTTTTGCAAAATCCACTTTTCCATAATTAACTTCATGTTCTCTTGCTTATCTTATAGTTTATGTGCGAACTTCTTTTTCATTTTTTATTTTCATTTTTTCATATTCTTCTCTCTTTTTCCTTAAATCAACTAAATATTCCTCCTTTCCCTTCCATTCTTTACTTATTAAGAATATTATATATACCACTAGTTTTATTTTAATTCTTTTCATCATTTTTTCCTGAATTTTCTTAATTTTATTCTTTCCTCCAGAATATATTATAGGCAGGTCTTAATAAGGCCTTACGGTAATACTTAATAATATTCATCAAATATAATTAAAAAAAATAATAAATATATATTCTAAATATTTTTATAATGATTGCTTATTTTCCAAATTAGTTAATTTATTGGAAAAAGATATTATGTAATTTTTGAAGCAATTGTTATCATATATAAAATATCAAATTACTAATGATTAAGAATAATCATTAATATATACCGTTCATTTTGGATTTCAAAGTTTTTAAATTCCTAAAGCCCTAATTTAATTGAATCAATTATACAAAGCTATAATCTTTTCCTACTTTAATATAAATAAATTATAACTATTAATTCATTGATTCAGAAATTGATCAAACATAATTAACATATATTTTAATTTCTTATAATAAATTAAAACAATTACTATTTTATATTCAAATTCGTTTTTAAATCTGATTATAAAGTTTTCCTTTAACAATTAAGAAAATAAAACTAAAAAATCGTTGAATATTTAGAAAGTTTATTTTTAATTCGTTGATTTAATTATTATAAATTAATTTGATATAACTAAATAAAGATTATTTTCTACAATTCAGTAAATTAATATTTTGGAATATAATTTTATGAAAATATTCATATCAATAGAAATTAATAAATTTATCAAATTTCCAAAATGCCAACTTTTAAATTTGAGTAATAAATAAATGAAATTGATTTTATTCAGATTCATATTAAATATGAAAATAAATTTAAAGTAAATATACTGATTTAATAACTTGTTATAAAATGAATTAGTAACAATAAAAATAATAGAAAATGACAGATTTTGAAATTATATTAGAATTTCAAAATGATTTAGCATATTATATTCATTATAATAATTAAACTTTGAAAATTTAATAAAATTATGTTATTTAAAAGAATGAAATAAATATATTTATTATATTATAATATTTCAAATAAATAAAATATTTAACTAAAATTAATATTGAATTTTGATTATTGATTTCATATTTAGCATTTTAACTTTTATTTTGTTTTCTAAAGTATGATATTAGAGTTCTCCTTATTTTAATAATTATTAAATAAGAAGTAGTATTTAAAATTATGAAATTAAATTTTGTTAATTAAAGTGTGGTTATATTAAAATCTTGAATCATTATAAATTTTTGTATTGTAATTTAAATTTATCAAACCTTTAATTCATTCTTCCTAAAAAATATTAATAATGTACTTTTAATATCAAATAATTACTTTTATAATAACTAGGTTTCTTTAATTTTAAATAATTATTAACATATATTTTTAGAGAAGAGAAATTTATCTAAAATAAAAATATTCTCTGATATTTATTAATAATGTTTAAATAAAGATATAATTTACAAATTGACATAAGATGATAAGATTAAGTTTATTCATAAAAATTATGGATCATTATTTTTTTGAGATCTAAGGATTTACCCAAGAGAGATGTGGTTTCTAATTTATTAACTTTGAAACTAGCCTTCCTATAGCAACAGCAGGTTCCTTCTAATTAAATTGACAATGAATGATGTTAAGGTTAAATTTCACTTAATTGTTTCTATTTTTTTTTTTTTTAATGCCTTCAGTTTTAATTTAAGCTGTTTCTAGGAAAGAATTACTAGTTTATGATAAAATCTTATTAGAAAAGTCATCCGTACATTGAGTATCATCCACATCCAGATTCTTATAAGATTCCAATGGCTGCATAAAAACAGGTTTAGGTCCAATTAGTTGATTTTAATTAAATTAGAGCATATTTTAATTTCTTATTAATATGAACCAAAAATAATTACAACATGGATGGTGATATTTTAAGAATTAATGCTGAATCATATAATTTAACATAGGTAAAAAAGGATTTTTTTTGTAAATTTTAATACATTAATATCTTCTTATATTTGATAATATATAATTCAAAATCATGATTGTTTTTTTAAATGATAATATAATATTTATGCTTTCTGATGCAAATGTATATCATAAAACTGTACTTGAAATAGAAATGAAAAAATAATAGATTGAGATCTTTTTAAAATTAATTTAACTATAATATAATCATTTAAAAATTCAAAAATTTAACAATTAAATAAGTCTATTTAAAGTTTTCTGATATTCTTCCCAATCTCCACTAATATAATGAGACTTTAATAAGTAAAGACCATCACAATTTTGTATCTGTCTAATTGAAATTTCAAATTTGAGAGATAAATTAGCTGAACATACATAATCAAATTGATCATTTTACTGATTAGCTAATAAATGATAAATTATACCTACAGTATTTTTATCTAAATTTACGTTATTATCTTCAATAACTCAGCAGCAAATATTGTAGGGTCTCTATGAGTTGTACATTGTAAATTAAAGGCTCCTTTGTGAATTTTAGGCTATGGATTTTTAACTGGATTTGGTTAAGAATATTCTGATATAGCACTTATGGCACGTTCTCTATTAATAACCTAACATTTAATTAATTAAATAGAACTTTTGGTTTAGCTTTATCTAATGAAAAAGAATCTTCAGTTTTTCTATTAGTTTATAATGGTGTATTTCCATTTGTGCCAACACTAGAAATAGAATTGTTAACAGCTTAATATATTGGTTTAAGCATTGGAGGAATAATGGGCCTAATTTATGCTCTTTTTATTATTTCTCTTTTTAATTAGATATTAAATTATTTTGGTGAATCTGGTTTAGTTATCTATTTGAAAGTTTGA